GACAAGTCTGCTCTGATCAGAGCATGTGAACGGAGCGGAGCGCCGCATAATTCCCGCTCCCTGCTCAGGAGGATGTTCACTCATTGGCTCCGCTGCTCAAAGTTGCGCCAGGAAGCTCCGCGCTCGCCTTAATTTTTCTGCCGCTGCGGCAAAATCTCTCCACACTCCTTCAAATTTTCAGGAGAAGGTTTTTCTGACATTTTTCCTTCATCTAATCATGCCAGGGCCCTGAGACACACGGCGTTTGATTTAATGATGTGACCGATACATGTGCATTTCCTTATTTAACTGGCTGTTAAATTATCGTACTGTTTCCCAGCTGTGAACATAACACCTCGCTCCATTTATGTTGCCCCGCGTTTCCTATTTAATTAGAAATTTATTTTACTAGACTTCATTAAAAAGGTCGCTTTGCATCCTATTGCAAATGAGGTAATAGCTATAATGCACGCATGTGATCCATTTTCAAAAACAGGCTCTTACCACAACGATCACTTTATGTAAACCCACTCTATATTAACTATAGTTAGTGTATGATTTTATTATATTTTATAAATCAAATGTTATTTTACAAATTTTATAATCCAATATTTTTAACTGACGTGAGCGCATCGGAGCGAACTGCTCTGCCTCTGATGCATGCTGGGTAAAGAGGGATCAGCAAGAACAACATGCTGAGTTTTAGTCAGTTTTTGGTCTTATGCTCCAGTGAATTGGAACAGTGCTGAGGCTGATGAGAGCGCACAAGTACGCATTAGAAGAAACTGCAAAGGAGTCCAAATAAACCGTTTATAAAGTTGCTAAAATATATAGAATACTGAATGAGTCAAAGGGGGCAACCTAGAAAACCTCACCTTAGACCAAAGCATCAAGATCACATCCTCAACTAAGCCAATAGAAAAAATCCTACGCAGTAATCCTTTTAACCTGAGGAGGGCGCCAAACAGACAACTTTAGACACAGAAGAAGGATTTTAACAAATGTACATGAAATTGCCAAAAATAATTATCATACGTACGTTTATGGCTTATTTTATAATGTGGACTGATAGAAAAGGCCTGATTAGGTAATATTCTTCAAACAGAGGACGGTAATTCAGGTATGAGAATGATTGACCCATTGTGCATTCACCAAAGTTACAGAAACTTAAAACTAAAGTGTATTGAAGCGAAGGCAAGCTGATATATTCCCATATTCATTGTTCGCTTGATATTGAACTGATTCACCATATTAATAGCGGATCAAGACATGTCTAAAAAGGCATTATTTCCAGAAGACTGTGGTTTATCACCAAAATAAAGGTGGTTTAGGGTGAGTCGTCCTTTAAGCAGCTCAGTGTATCTGTTAATAAGAATGGATTCAAATCAGTTTTAAAAGGATGAAGATAGATTCTTTTTCTCTCTAATGTGGTTTGATCTTTAATTTGATCATCAGTATTTAACACATTTATTTTAGCTATAGCCTTAATTACATGACTGTTTAGTTGTGCAGCATGTTAACCCGCATTATATCAACATTATACAGCATTAATAGAGGCTGAAAGGACAGATTTAAAATTAATCTCTGGTTTTATGAATCAGTCCTGACAGCTGCTGCTCCTGTTCAGTCGTCTGCAGGGAGTTTTTTTCCCTATAAGGTGCTTCATGCAGGTAAACTTTTCCACTGCTTTGTTCCAGTGATCCTGCAGACCGAGCGAGACACAGGACACCAAGGAATGCCAGGATGTCTGCCCCCTCGCTGGGGCGATTTGTCCCACGGTGAGACCCTCATAAATCAAACCTGCTGTTCATTTGGTTCCAAATGGATCCAAACTGATTCGCTCTCATCCCTGCTTCCTGCAGTCGTTTCCTGCTTCCGGAGTACCTGCCGTACGCCGGGATCTTCCATGAACGAGGACAGCCCGGTCTGGCTACTCACTCCTCCGTCAACAGAGTTCTGGCTGGTAAGCAGGACTCTAACATGTTTAAAGCTTTGGATCATTTTAAGCTTAATGACTTTTAAAGATTTATTACAATAATTAGAGCTTCAGGAATTTGGGCTGGATTCTGTTCTTCTATTGTTTCCTTTTGTAAAAGAAATTTAAATTCAGATTAGGGCTAAAACAATCGGTTTAAACGTGATTAATCTATTATAGGAAATATAATCAACTAATTTGGCAATCGATTAATCGTTGACTGGAGTATTGAGACTCTGAAACTTCATTTTAGCTGACAGAACAAACCTACCGTATTTTCACTAA